CTCACAGTTCGTGAGTTCAAGCCCCGCAATGGACTCTGTGCTGACAGCTCAGAGTCTGGAGCCTGCTTCGGAGCCTGCTTCGGATTCTGTGTCTCCCCCTCTCGGTGCCCCTCCCCCATTCATGCTCTGTCTCTCAAAATGTAAATAAATATTAAAAAACTTTTTGTAAAAATAAAATTTCTTTAAATAAAAAGGATCTATAGCCACATAACAGATCATTATTTAATAAGCACATTTCCAGGTGAGCAGCATTTACAATGTGCTTCCTAGTCTGGTGTGCACAAATCGAAAGGCCTATGAGGATGTTGGAAAACCCACTTATGTGGGTTCATGCTTCATTTGCTATGGAAGCTTGAGGAGAGAACTTTTACAATTTGGAATGGACACTCATCATGCAGTTATGCTTCCGGCAATATATATCCAGGTTGGGGGGAAAACAGTTCAAACTGGTAAATAATTGCAGTATCATTGCATCAGTTTAGTTTAAAGAGCTGACAAACCCTCTCTAAACTCCGAGCACAATTAGTCATTAGGGTCTAGTTTTTCAGCACTGTTAAGCAATTTGTAACCCATTCCTTTTAATAGGGTTAGGCATTACTTAACCGACACAGATGCCTTGAAAACTGAAACCTCGAGTTGTAAAGCAGCCACCTTGTTCATTACCTTCAGTGATAGGCAAATCATCTATAAAAACAGCATTTAATGGGCAACCAATGAATAATCAATGGCTCACTTTTCATCTGAGTGTGAAAATGAGAATAATCTAATACAGGGTCCCTCTGGTAAGATGCTGAAATCTCGAGTTCTGCTGCTCTTCAGGGCTGATTTATAAGGTCTTGGAAGGCTGATGTAAACAGATGATCAATGGGACCCATCCTTGCTCATAATAACCCCCAACTGGCCCACTCCCTCTTTTCCAAGTCCATCCCTTCAGGCTATTAGCTCTGTCCGGCTAATTCTTCCCACTACTCCTGCCTGCTGCTTTTACTCCGGCCATCCGTTCAGTCCAGCCGACTCAGAAGTAATTTTATACGCAGCAGAGAGCGGGTAGAATTGATTTTTCACTCAGCGCTCAGTTCCCATCTGAATAATTATCAATTTTACTGCCTCATAAAGGGAAGAGTCAAAATTTCAAATCAATTCAAAAGAGCTTTTGAGACGACAGAAATTGTGCATAAGAATAGAGGTCAAAGTTGTCGGTGACCTAAGGAGGTGATGTCAGATATTACTATACCCAATAGTTGACATCAGAGGCACTCAAGATGATATAACCTAGTGCTAATGCAAATCATATTTATGCTGACTACCAGAGACCAGTCATTAATATTTAAAATGCTATCTGAAAGCCTACATTCCAAATAAATAGAATGTATTCCGCTGTTAATAAAGATATATCACTACTTAGTCATATGCTCTAAAGTAAAGGATTACCAAGTATTATTAACACACAGAAATTACTTAAACCAACAAACGCATGGCAATTCTGAGTAAAGACAAGCTTGATTGTCTCCTGTACAACCACACCATTTGCTCTGCACAGTCTGATGGTATTCGTCTAGAATCGCAGCCTGTTGATTTTAGTACAATTTTCTACCAACTGAAAAGTTTCTGCCAAAGCTTATGGGATGATATTGTGATCAGGTTGAGTGCTGGCGGAGGGATTTGGTGGTGGACTTGTCATTTGCCCTGGTGGGGTGGGGGGCTGGGTCTGACTCCTGGCCAGTTCATGGGTATTTATTTTCTCCACTGGCTGCATGGTCTCAATCTGTGGTCCTCAACCTTCTCCTTGCAAAATACCGGGGGGGGGGGGGGCAAGGACACACCCCCAACAGTACCACAGGCTACTGCAGTCGGGTAGGTGGGGCAGGGGGGAGGAGAGGTACACCCAAACCTTGACAGAATGTCTATTTTGAGGGGCACCTGGGGGGCTCAGTCGGTTAAGTGTCCTACTCTTGGTTTTGGCTCAGGTCATGATCTTGTGGTAGATGAGTTGGAGCCCGGCACTGAAGGCGTGGAGTCTGCTTGGGATTCTCTCTCTCTCCTTCTGTTTCTGACCCTCCCTTGGTTGCATGTAAAGGAGGACACACTCTCTCTCAAAATAAATAAATAAACTCAGAATTACCAACTAGGCCCTTGAGAATCAGTGGTGTAAGCGGTAAGGTTTTTGAGCCAGACAAACCTTGTTTCACATTCCACTTTCCAGCTGATCTCTCTGCGTCTCAATTTATTCAACTGTAAAATGGGGATGATGATTATCTACACTTGAGGGTTGTTGTGGGGGTGTAAATGAGAAGAGTTCTCTGAAAGTCCTCTCCTCGTGTGTCAATCTCTGTCACCACTATATAAATCACATTATTCACGTAATTGGGTAGTTACCTAATAACTAACCCATCATCTCTGTCCCACCTGATAGAAACTTTCTAAGGAAAGAAATTGTGCTATGAGTCTCAGTGGCTCTTGCGCCTTGTACACAGAAAGTCCTCAATACGTGTTCTACCTTTCTCTTCTCTTTACTATATCACCACCATGTTGTAACAATTCCAGGGTCATACCAAATACTTACAGGCCTACAGCACTTTGTTTAGTTACAGAAAATCTTAATTATACCTCCCCACCAGAAAAATAACAGGTTACCGAGATGTCACCAAAAGTAAGTTTCTGTAACTTCATTTGAATATTAGTAAAACATGATAGCCAGAAAGAAAACCTCTTCCATGGCCAGATCATTCTATGTTCATCATTTCTTCACTCAGAGTGACACTTTCTGCGGGTGGTGCGTGCCTTGTTTAACAGGGCTAATAACCTTGTTAAAGGGTTTACAATTGCAAACCACAAACTATTATGAAGATGATTTGGCAAAATGAAACAAGTGGAAACAGTATAAAGTATCACTTCCAAAGTCAGTGGAGCTGGAGAACATCACAGTGATGGTGCCCCCATAGAAAAAATGGCATTATTCTCTTTGAAATATTTCTGGCACGTGTTATTTATTTTTATGCATGCTGTTGCTGTGATTGGCAGACGTGAGTTTTCAAAACACAGTATTAAACTTGGACCTAACTCAATATTAGCCAGTCAGAAAACACATCTGAAAACAAAGAAACCGTGGCTTTATTACCTATCACTTAAATGCTCTTGGGAATATGACCTGCCTGAACCTTTCTTATCTTAAATGGGAAGAATACCAACTGTAGAATGAGGAGTGGAAAGTTCTCAGCAGGGTGCCTGGCACAGATTAGGAGCCCAGCAAATGGCAGTTTCCGGACATGCAGAGTACTCACAGGCAAACTACAGAAGACTTAGAGGCTCCAGGAAAGAAATCAGAGGTTGACTCTTTCCAGTTCTGGCTTCGCTTTTTATTGCTCTCTGGCCTCTTAAAGAGCTATCCTTTTTTGGAATTCTAGCTTCACTGGGGTAAGGTGAAAGACTTAGTGAGATTTCTTGAGGGTGAGCGAGTGTGCTACCCTACCTTGCGGGAAAATACTCCTAGAGAATAACTGGTAAAGAGTCTCGGGAAGACTATTTGTTCTAAGGGATATTCAGGGTCTAGGCTGGCTTTCGGGAAACTCTGTTTCTTAAGCCAGGTGCCCGACCACCAGTTACCTGCTGTAGGACATCTGGATTTTGCTGCATAAAATGTAATAGTCTCTGACCGGCCTGGGTAGCCTCTCTGCATCGAAGTGGCTTCTTGCCCTCTTTTGCTATGTGCTTGAAGAGGTAGGTGACGATGTAGTCTAAACTGGTACAGCAACTGGAGGAGACAACTGTATCTGTACGAACAATAAATGAGAATTCCTTCGCATTACTACGTGTCTTGACACCTGATAAATTATAATGCCTCCAATTAAAAAAATCACTTTCTGGTTTCAAAGCACTTTCATCAACTTGTAAAATTCCTTGAGGGAGCAGGGATTTTTACCTTGCGGATCTCTTCAAACCCAGTGTCTACTACAAGACCTGGTATCAAGATGTGTTAGTAAGTAAATGACTCCTGGACTAAATTGGGACAGCATTTCCCATTTGTGACCTCAACGACCGTCTGTTCAACTCAGGTGACTTTATGAGTATCTGTTTGGAGCGAAGGGCTCTGCCGCAGAGGAAACAGGGTGTGGGCTTGGTGCAAAAAGCTCTCTTTCAGGGGAAACCCCGACCCTGGTGTCAAAGAGCTCATGATTTAGCATACGAGTCACTGCAGCACACTGCTGGCAGTGACGCACTGCTGTGAGGATTTTGAGGAAGTCATCGCATTTGGATCGGGATCACAAAGGCTTCATGAAGGAGACAGAACCTAAGATGGGCTTGGGAAAGTTATTTCAGTGAGATATAAGGAAGGACATTTCTCAGGTGGGAGGGTTAGCACAGGGCACACAGTGGGGTGGGAAGTTAGGGATTTTGGAGTCAGACAGCTCTGGTTTCAAATCCCATCTTTTCTGCTGACTTGCTGTGTTGTTACTCCGAAAGAGCCACTTAACCTTTCGCATCATCTGTAAAATAACTTGCAGAGTTGAATGAGAAGAAAACAACTAGAAAGCCTCACAATAAAAACAGCTACTATTTACCCAGAGTTTACTGTGTCAGTTACGTGAATTACTATTGTGTATCCTCACAATGGCACCGGGAGAGACTGTGAGCTGTGAGCACAGAGCCCGATGCGGGGCTCGAACCCACAAACTGTGAGATCATGACCTGAGCTGAAGTCGGATGCTTAACTGACTGGGCCACCCAGGAGCCCCTAATATCTGAGGTTTTAAGGCCCATGTGCCTTTCCTAGATTAGAGGTACAATGTTAGTAGGCAAAGCTAATCTGAGGAAGGTTTTATAAGTCTTGAAGTTGTATTTAGTAATAATACCTAGAACTGCAATAGCACCACAGTTTACATACTCTTTTCATATAAATCGTTTTAGAGAGAAATGGCATTAGAAAAAGAAAGAGGTAGGTTTGGGGGGAAGTTTTGAAATACAGATAGATGAATGCATTTAAAACAGAGGATAACGGGGCGGTTTAGCATCTGACTCTTGATTTCGGCTTAGGTCATGATCTCATGGGTTCATGTGTTGGGCTCTGTGCTGTCAGCATGGAGCCCGCTTGGGATTCTTTCTCCTTCTCCTTCTGCTCCTCTCTCTCTGTCTCTCTCTCTCAAAATATATAAATAAACTTTAAAAGTAAATAAAAAAAATAAAAAATAAAATACAGGATAATAGTGGCTGATGCAGGATCAATAGGGGTTGAATGAAGGTCTGAAAGACGGGTGTAGACAAGAGTTTAGGGAAGCCACGGTGCTATGGAAGCTATATATATAAGTAAATTGTGGCACTATATTTTCCTCTGAAGAAAGGGGAGCTTTTTCTCCCAAAATTACGGTATTTGATTGACTGATTGATTGTTTATCTCTCCCCACTATCTGGGATGCTTTGCAGAAAAGCAAGATTTGGTTTCGTAATTCCAGGAGGCAGTATAATGTAGTGGAAAAGATCTAGGCCTAAAAATCAGGCACAGACTCTGGTTGAGCTCGCCTGCTGTTCTCTTTTCCTTCACATTTCTACTTTTGAAATCCCAATCATGAAAGTAAATGGATGAAGTAACTTAATATCTACAAAAGGAAGCGAGCAGGAAATAGATATGGTTTCCCTCACCAGGAAAGAGCAATATGTTATCAATCATACAAAAATTATAAAGACTTCACATAGATTTGGTGACCGCACGCCATGCACGTTGCATTAAAAGGTTCCAATCTACTGAGTCAGCAGTGAAAAAGCCAGGTAAACACTTTAGACATGAAGGTTGGAACATATATCCTTGCAATAAAAGCAAGAAGAAGAGGCTCCATTATGGCTGATTTATGGTTGGGGACTTTGAAGCGGATAAATGTTATTTTAGGGTAGATTGAAAGGTGTGGAATCATAAGGATCAAGGGCCGTTTGATCAAAAACAGAATGAATAGTGCTGAGGACTATGTATTATTATTGGTTTCCTTTATTTGCAGCTCAAGCTATTATGCGAGATTCAAATAATAAAACTCTCCTGACATAAAAGGATGGGCAGAAGTCATGCATTTTCATGTTTTGTCCTAGTTCTTGGTATTCAGAATCTTTAAAAAAATTTTTTAAATGTTTTATTTATTTTTTGAGAGAGCACAAGTAGGGGAGGGAAGGAGGATCTGAAGGGGGTTCTGCCCTGATAGCAGCGAGCTTGATGCAGGGCTTGAACTCACAAACCACAAGATGGGGGCCTGAGCCAAAGTCAGATACTCAACTGAATGAGTCACTCAGGTGCCTCAGTATTCAGAATCTTTTTAAAAGGATTCATTTGGGGCGCCTGGGTGGCTCAGTCAGTTAAGAGTCCGTCTTCGCAATAGCACTGCTAGGAATTTACCCAAGGGATATAGGAGTGCTGATACAGAGGAGCACAGGTACCCCAATGTTCATAGCAGCACTCTCCACAATAGTCAAAACATGGAAAGAGCCTAAGTGTCCATCAACTGACGAATGGATCAAGAAGATGTGGTTTATCTATACCATGGAATACTACATGGCAATGAGAAAGAATGAAATCTGGCCATGTATAGCAACATGGATGGACCTTGAGGGTGTTATGCTGAGCGAAATAAGTCAGGCAGAGAAGGACAGCTACCATATGTTTGTACGTATAGGAGGATTAGAAGGAACTTAACGGAGGACCGTGGGGGAGAAGAAGGGGAGAAAAACAGTCGGGGAGAGGGAGGGAGGCAAACCATGAGAGACTCTTGAATGCTGAGAACAAACTGAGGACTGATGGGGGTGGGGAGGGAGGGGACGGGGGGTGATGGGCATGGAGGAGGGCACTTGTGGGGATGAGCACTGGGTGTTATAGGGAAACCAACTTGACAATCAACTGTTAAAAAAAAAAAAAAAAGAGTCCGTCTTCGGCTCAGCTCATGATCTCACAGTTCATGGGTTCAAGCCCCACTTTGGGCTCTGTGCTGACAGCTCAGAGACTGGTGCCTGCTTGACATTCTGTGTCTCCCTCTCTCTGTCCCTCTGCCACTTGCATTCTCTCTCTTTCAAAAATAAACATTAAAAAAATTAAGAAAAAATAAAAAAGGATTCATCTGCAATGCAGATAACTCTAGCAACTTGTTGTTTGGCATTAAAGCCAAATTCCTCTTTTCTCCTGTAACCAGTCTCCACAGGAAGCACATGCATCATTAATAAACATCCTGCTCACTAGGACCCATCGTGGAAAACTGTTCTGAAAAGTTAGCTGTATGGGAAAGGGCTGCTGAATGGAGTCAGAAGAACGATAATGGGGCTGAGCTAAAATTTGGCTTTGCCTCAAAATTTCTCACCATGGCAAAAGAGAAGGTAGAGGTCTCAGAAAAATACGGTGTGAAAGGTGATTTCAGAAACGAAAGGACTGTCTGGGTGGCAGTTTTAGAAATAGGTGGGTCTAGGTTTGAATCTGTATTTTCTAGATGTTTGACTTCATAGAGCTTTAATTAGTACCTCTATAAAATGTGCTTGATACCACCTACTTTGCAAGATCTCGTGAGAAATTAATACAGTGTGTAAAGATTGTAACACAGTGCTCAACACACAGTAGGTTTCCCCATTTTCACTTTCCATGTGTTTCCTTGGCTATTTCAGTCCCTTAAACACAAAGCCCATCATTTTGTTTGGCTAACTCATAGTTTTCTTCTACTTTAGCATGTTTTTAGTGGGAGAAACTAGTGTACAAGGTCTCTAAGTCCCTAAATATTTCCAGTGTTTTGTTCCCATATTATGTTCATACCACTTACTCTAATTCAAGAATGTGTTCAAAATAACGTGTTCTATTCATAATGAACATTTTGTTAACAGCAGACTTGATGAGGAAAGGTCTGGTGGCTTCCAGTTGGTTCAAATTTTCACTTGCCCTCACAATTTCTTGTTTTTGCCTTTCATGCCCTCCTTTACTTCTAGGAGCGCACCTCCATCGCTGCCCCAGCTAATCTTTAGAGGCCTTCCCTGGTCACTTCTTCTAAAGAAGCCACATTTCATCATTCTCCAGTCATTATCTCATTTTAAGTCTTTGTTTAGCACTTGTAATGACTTGACTTTTTCGTGTGTGTGTGTGTGTGTGTTCATTTATTGATTGTTCATCTTTTCCCTCTAGAATAAAAGCTTCACATAATTAGGGACCTTATCTGTTTTGTTCCCTTTAGTACTGCCAAGTACGTAGTATGTGTATAATTGATACTTCTTGAATGAATGACTTGAGTGTCACTATTAAGAGCAGCTTTTTGTAAGCTCTGCACTTGGTCTCTGTATGTAAGAGTATGGTGGGGGGTGATGGTGGCTGGGTAACTAAAAGAAAATGGGGCACCTGGGTGGCTCAGCCGGTTAAGCATCCGACTCTTGGTTTTAGCTCAGGTCATGATCTCACAGTTTTGTGAATTTGAGCCCTATGCTGGACTTCTCTCCCTCCCTCTCTCTGCCTCTCCTCTATATGCGCTGTCTCTCTCTTAAAATAAATAAACTTAAAAAAATAAAAAGAGAAAATATAACCACTTTTCTCATTTACCTTTCTCTTTCCCCACATTATAGCTTGCCTGAAACTAAAAATGCTGATGAATGATGATTACCAAAAAGTTTTAATATCATGTAAAGCAAATTAGGTGAGTTACTACTCTATCACTGATGCAATTTTTTTGTGTCTCCATCTCAGTTTTCCCAGAGGCTAAAGTAGAACTGAAACCTGCTTGTAACCCAAACAAGTATAAATGCCTCTTTGCAGATGTATTATTGTTGGAAGAGGAGAAACCCAAGTGGGTATGTTCAACAGTCCTTTTCCTTTTTCTTCTTTAAAAAAAAATTTTTTTATGTCTTTATTTTGAGAGAGAGAGAGAGAGAGAGAGAGAGAGCGAGCAGCGGAGGGGCAGAGAGAGAGGGAGACACAGAATCTGAAGCAGGCTCCAGGCTCTGAGCTGTCAGCAGAGCCCGACGTGGGGCTCGAACCCACAGACTGTGAGATCATGACCTGAGCCGAAGTCAGACATTTAACTGACTGAGCCACCCAGGCGCCCCAACAGTCCTTTTTCTTGAAGATTAGATAGATCTAGGGCAGGGTCGTGAGGCGAAGGGGAATGGGGTTTTGAGTCAGAAAGACTCCTAGATCAGGTACTTTGTGTGACCTTGGGCAAGTTGTTTCAGCTCCCTAAGCCACAGCTTATTCATCTGTACAATGAAATATAATGAAAATAACATTACTCAATTAACTTAATAAATGTTTATTGAGTACTTACTCTATGTTAGGTGCTAGGAATAAAGAGGTGCTTCAAATCATGGTGTCTGTCCTTCAGAAGCTTCCAATCAAGTAGGACATAAGGACAGAGAGCACTATTAGAGTGTGTAACCCAGTCTTGGTATGCATGGTGGTTCTGAGAATGACAGGGTGAAGCACACATCTGGAAACACCTATGACAGCATCAGGCACAGAGTACATGTCCACAAACATACACTTAAGAAGTAGCAGCACCGGGACTTACACCCAGGCTCTGGATTCCCTCCCTAATGTCACTTCATCAAGACTCCCATAAAAGCCTTGTTAAAATGCAGATTCCAGGCCCAAGACCACACTTGGAGAGTAACACAGCCACCTGCAACTAATTACGATATGAGTTAAAAGAATGTCAAGCCAAACTGTAATAAGAAAAGACAAGGCTTCAGTTTCTGTCCTTGAAGGATTAACGGCTATGAGAATTTTTCCTTCTGCCATAAACAACTAGAAAACAGGACAAAAATATGAAACAACACTTTTCAATTATTGCACGACAAGCAGTACAAGGCTATTTAACCAGAGAGGAGGGAAAAAATTGCTCAAGCTTATTGCTCCAAGTAGTTTCCAGGCTGCAGACCAGAAAAGGGGAACCCAAACAGAGCTAAGCAGTCTCACCAAGTTCAAGAGAAACAGTTTGAATTTGGGGAGACTTCGGCAGTGAAAACTCATGGGACAGAGTTTCAGAGAGTGGGAGCTATACAAGGAGAGAGTTCTGGAGATCTGTAAAGGAGTCCTTCCCAACCAGTCTTTG